AAAAAAGAACTAGTTTCTTTTTTTTTATTTAGAATTTTTAGAATAGGATAGTCTTGAGAACATTAACAATAAGTTTGTCATATGATCATCTGCAGAATTCAATGGCTCGAACACTATTAAATTGTAGTTTATTAAGAATGTGTTGATAAATATATATCAAAATGTAATCGACCGAAAGATAATGTGCAAAAGTCCTTTAGATTATTTAATAATAACAAATGAACTTAAGTTTAATTAGAATTTATTGATTGTTACTTAAATTTTATTGTATCATCTCGTTTTAATGTGATCACATCGTTACCTTAGTATTTTCTTCTCATTTTATCTTTTCATTTATCCTACCTATTTATAGTAGCTTTATCATTGACAACATTAAGGGATAGGAATAATAGAAATTGTTTTGAGATAGTGTGTTTCCACCAAATATTGAATCTACACACAAGTGTTAGAACTAATAGTAAAAGTTGAACTCTAACTTTTTCATTCTGCAAAATAAACTAAAATTTCATTACATCTAGTGCATGTTGATTTCTCTAATGAAAAGGTAGATTACGCAAACAAATACTTTAAATAACAAACACATTAACATAGTGAATCTTTTACTTTGGTTATTAGGTTATTGTTAAAAAATATTACTTGTATCAATAGTAAACTTGATCTCATAGTAGCCAAATATTCATAATCAGCAACACATCAATTATGTTGCAGTTAATTATATGTGAAGCATCCAAAAAGCAATATTCATAAAATTGAAATATGGGTTTACTCGTCTCCTCTAACATAGAGAATGGTCATAAAATTTCTTCAAAATTGAAATAGATGGTCATAAACTTTACTTATATAAAAGTTCATCAAAATAAATTATATAGAATTTTGTCCTCTATCACAATATTCTGCCTTATTTTAATGTACGCATGGTATAAGTCTATAAAGTTCCATTCATATAAAAAATTTCTCAGGCGCGCATTTTGTAGATAAAAAATATAAAGGTTTAAATCAAGAAAGATTATTGAAAACTTTTCGTAAATGTTCTAAAACAATTGAACAGAAAATAAATTGATCTCAAGTATTACCTTGTGATCCATAAATGCCAAAATTCCAATTATATTCATGAATGATATCAATTTTTCATTAGCGTGCAATTTGCTGAGCGGAGGTTTTCAGATCAACAATCATAAGCTGATAGGTTTTTGAATCTTTTGAGATGTATTTATATAGGATAGTAACCTCTCCAACGATTTAAACGATTGAGTAGGAGATTGTCCTATATTTATGACTTCAACCATCTAGGAATTGTTATAAGAAATTAGAAGTTTTCTGACTCATCAATTGAAAGTTATTTTTTAAAATCATATAATTTATTACTGTTAAAAAAAAAATCAAGAATTTTCTGGTGCTGACATCTGGCACTTTCTCCTCTCCTATTATATATAGATAGATAGATATATATAAAAGAGAACCCTAGACCCGCCTACGTGGCGCCACCACAAACCAGGATTCCTTTTTAATTATTTCCAAAACTAGCCTTCCTCTATCATGAAAAGTTGTGACTTTTATGGAAAGTTGTGACTTTTATAAAGAGTTGCGACTTTTATGAAGAGTTGTGACTTTTATAAAAAGTTGCAATTTTTATGAAAGGTTGTGACCTTTCCGATAAGACATAATAAACATTTGTTCACACTACCTTTTGTTGTCTATAATAGAGGAATTTCATCTCATTTTAAAACAACGAAAATTTTGAACTTCTTCTTCTTCTGGACAATTAAATAATTGTGTATTTTGCTCCTGCTGAATGACTCACTGAAACCATTTTTTTGTATCAATACACTGGTGAATAGAATCATTCTTTCCTGAGAGGATCTATTCCTTTAAATCTAGGGTACTAGGGAGGAATAATTTCCTTAAGGGGACACTGTGCATTCAGTGGACTTGATTTTTTTCCATTCTGTTTCATTCTATTGTTACAAATCCTGGTATATTTTTACAGTCATTAATTTATGCTTATATTATTAATTGTTATTTTTTAGTACATGCTTTAAATTTTGTTGTTTATGTTTCTGCAATATTATTGTTATAAGTATTTGTTAGTACATATTAAATAACAAACGTTAATTGAATATTCAAGCAAGTTTTCTCTACTAGAATTGTTGAAGGTACGATAAAAAAAAACCTTACAAATTGTTCATGAACAACGTCATTTCTTCACATACAAGGATGAGATTTTGTGTTCTTTAGAAAATCCTCTGAGAGTTAATAACTTTGCATGCCCATATTTTATTGTTTTTATGTTGTTGTTATCTATTTTACTAAATTTTATCACTGAATATTATGAGTACTTTAAGGATTAAAAGTTGATTGAAGTGTTAATCAATTTTTTGAGGTATGTTATTTTAAAACATGAGAACTTTTCTGGTTACAACGATTTGTTATCATCATTGGATATCTGAGTTCCCAAACTGTAGTATAAGTCTTTATCGCAGATGTGAGCTTCCCCTCATCTTGCTTCCCGCCACAAAGATAATAAGAGAAGGAAACCTCTAACAATAAAGTAGATGTACTACAACCGCATACACATACCCTCAATACAAAGAGAAAGTTTATTGGCAAGAGGGAACCATTTCTCACCCAGCCCTACCTACCCTATGTATTCGAGGGAGAGGCTGGAACCGAAAAAGACCAGGTTCCACACATATGAGACAGGCAGAAGGTATGGGACGAGCAGTTTCTTGAAGAGCGAATTTGATATCTCATAGTTTATCTCTTTAATGTATGTTTTTCTCGCTGTTTTGTTGTCTCCTTAAAATTGTATTAATTATTTTTTGTTTGGTATGTATATGATCTCACTTGGACAAAACTTTCGCCCTTTTAATGTTTTTCTTTTTTTTCCTTCTCATTCAGCTCTACTAATTATTTTTTGTGTGAGTTATGACTATTTTCAGCAAGCTTAATTTGAAGAATCTGAAACAAAACCTGCTCTAAATAAAAGTAATATCTTAAGCTACAAAAGATATGTCTATTAACATAGATTTGTTGTCCTTTATGTCCTAAGTCATTGCTGAGCATTTGAGTTATCTTGGTTAACTCATTTTTAATTTTTTAATGTTCGAGAATATTACTTTAACACGACTCTAGAATCCAACATTTTGATCTACTTTTACTTTCATAATGCAACAACTATACATACATTTCTGAAAAAGTCGTAAAGTTGCATTGATGAAGCATCTAGAAGGGCCTTCAGAGCAGAAAGAATGAATTTCTAAAAGAGCCTTCAGAGCAGCAGTTTAATGAAGAATGAATTTCTAAAAGGGTCAACAATATTATTTTGCTGTTATTTCAAATTTATTTTTCTCCTTCTATAAGTTTTGTTAGAGTAACAAAGTAACAATAACTAAAAGTGGTGAACGTTTGACCTTAGACAAGTAGATTGTCTCTAAAAAAAATATTTATGTTGTTGTGGTGTACATTTTTAACGGTCTTAACTTATTTATAACTAATATTGATTATCGAAATTTTTGTATAATTTATTTTTAACAAGGAGTTATTCTAATCATAAAATTATCAGTTCTATATTTTTCATGTTCAAACAAATAGAAAAAAATATGCTACATAAAAACATCACTCAGTGTTAACAAGACAATTATATTATCAAACATATATTATGATAAATTATGTAAAAGATAAAAATGATTAGATATCAAGATATTTTTAATCATTCATTATATATTTAAAATTCTTGAGATATGTGTTAATGTCAAATCATTTAATTTCTATTGAAATGTTCTTAAAACCTACTAAAATTTACTCTCTTTTTTCTTATAACAGTCGATTATTGAAAACACTATTCAAAAGCTGAAAAATTATCCAGAAGCGCAGGTAAATTACCTAGTTAAAGATAAAATAGAAAAGGGCAATATTAAATTTAATATTTTTCCTCCCTTTTAAAATGTTCAAAACATAAAATAAAAACTGAAAATATATTCAACATTTGTGATTAAAATATAACAAAATTGATACTAAAATTTGTTTTTCTTAAATAGTATGTCACAAGGATCTATATCTATATTCTATATTTTATATTTTATATATAATAGAAAAGGTGATAGCGCCTACGTGTAGCGCCTAAAAAGTAGTATTTTCAAAAAATAAATTTATAAAACTGTATTTGCAAATAAAAGAAATACAAATATATTGGTAGTTAATTATTTTGGAACAATTTTTTAAAAATTATATAAGGATGTATAAAATCAATTGTATTTTAAATTATTAGAATTTTGTCCACAATGTTATTTTTAGCTCAATATATTTTGTTAATTTCAAATTATTTCTATATACATTTTTTAAGAAAAACTTTTAATGTTGAGATTAATAAGGATAGTTACAAATCACATCATCTTTTTAAAAATAAAAAAAAATTGTAGTTGAGATTAATAAGGATAGTTGCAAGTCAGCTTATCTCTAAAAATGAATGACAAGTAAAGATTCGATTAAAGGGAGAGAAATCGGAGATAAAGGGAGAGAAGTTGAAAAGTAAAGATTAGATTAAAATATCTATAACAGGCACAACATTTTAGGCTTCAACCACCTAAAGAGAAGTGTGGCCTAAACTATCAATAAGTGTAGCCTTTGATTCAACGCCACACTTTTCGACTTTAGGCGACACCTTTGAGGGGGTGGCCAAAAGAAGTGTAACCTTTGATCTAAGGTCACATTTGGCCTATTATATAACAAAGACTAAGCTTTTCACTGACCATTTAGCAACACTTTCACATCCTTAAGCTACACTTACAAAGTGTTGGTTTTTTCCTTTTAAGCCACATTTTTTTAACGTGGCTTCTTTATTCGTGAAAGGTAACCTTTGCTTATATAAAGATTATATATTTTATAATATCTAATTTTCTGGGTAAAATATCGCATTTTGGACATATCATGTAATCGTTGTTATTTCAAGCATATGATGCTATAATATGTTTTGATGATATCAAAAACTAAAGTAATAAATATCAAAAAAATAAATCAAATTTATATATACTTGCAATTTGACTTCACTTGGTCCTGTACTAAACATACTAATAAAATATATGTATCAAAATTCCCACTAACAATGAACTTTAAAATTAATAGACATCCTAATTATTCAAAAGTCTTCATCATGCGCATTAATAGATCAAATTAACTTTCTGCCACCATCGTCAATTGCATCACCATTCTCCTACAGATAAAAAGACATTAATTTAATAATCAGATAGAAATCAAACTATGATCACTCGTAATATTGTGGTAAGAGTGTGCTTCTATCTCGAAAAAAATAACAGCTTTCAAAGGGAATCATGATAACCACCAACAAACACCTAAGATACTAGCATATTGACTAATTCCAAACTGAAATAGATTTTATAATGGTACAACCACAGTGACTAATCTTCGAGTTTATCCTGAACACAAGATCTATACAAAAACTTTGATTTTAGTTCTTAAGCAATGTGTGTACCAAATAAATACTCTATTATTTGGAAACCATGGACTAGACATAATGTTAATATTAGCTAGTAAGTAGTAAATAAGCTAGCAGACTTTTTGCATTAAAATTAACTGCAAACTTCTCAATATGTTTGCGGTAGTTGTTTTATGAAAAAAGAAATATGGAAATAAGCTAGCAAGCTTTGGTTAATGTTCATTTTCTAAAGAAATGGCTATTCATCATGCTTTTATTTGTCTTTTTTCATCCTCAAATGGTTCTTTAAATGCCAAAAGGGGTTTGTATTAGACTGTTCAATTGTGTGCAAGATGGTACAAATGATCAGTAAAATTAGACAGACATGAGTGGGTTGTTAGTAGATCAATCATTTGTGTCATCAATCCTTGCCTCAGTAAGTCTTCTAGGCGCAAAAGTCTATTATATCACTAGAGAAAATATGTGTTTTTCCTAAGGATCACACTATATATCTTCTGCGACTTCCACTTGGCTTTGCATTTGAATGATAGCTTCTAGGTTTGACTTAAGAATTTAACCTTGAGAAAAGCATGAGAGATTGGCTTGCTAGGCTTCTAAAGAACCTGCTGCCCTTATGCACCAGCAATTTCCATCATTTTGTATCTTCTCAATCTAAGATTTTGTGAGTACAACAAATTCTCACTAGTGGAAGATCATACATATATTAATGGCAAACAATGCAAACGTATTTGTAAGGTTCAAAGGTCTAACAATCAAAACTTAAGCAAGCCACTATGATAACATTCAGACAAGCAACTTAAGCCAGAAAGACTCTCATCAGGTTAGTGAACCAAAAAAATCAATAAATAAGATGTAGTCTGGTTACATGAGCCAACAAAATAAAAAGAAATTAAGGGAAGCTTGTCAAGAGTTACCTGAAGAAAACCACATAGCCGAGCGAGAACTTGTATTTTCTAGGCCAAGCTTCTCTACTACAACAAAGTCAATTACACCATAATGAATAGTTGATACTTTCATCTGTGTACGCAACAAAAACTTTTATGAACTTTAAAGAGAGGATAAAGAGTAGTTACGATTTAAAGATCTCATGGAACTGTCATCATGTGAATTAAATGATTGAGACATTGAAATACAACCAACAGGAAGAATACTAGAATAACGATCAAAGACATGGAAAACAATTTTTTGTAGTCATTCAAGTCGTGGAAAACAATTTTTTTCAAGATTTAGAAATGATTGCACGACAGAATTTACCACTATAAAGTAGCTAGGATGTTTTCAGTTGACAATCAGATATGGTGCAACAAGTTCTCAGAAAGCAGAGGACGTAGTTCTGGCGGCGACAACTGGCTGCGTGTATGAGCATCAGAGGAATAATCATCGATAAACCATAGCAAAAGATAGTAAATACCTTTAGGAACTACACTTGAAGCGAAGTGCTTATTCATCAGCTCTACAAATTTTAATTTCCTGGTCTCCTATTCAGATCTCGCCATCTGCAAAATAACAAATGCAAATATTGTGAAGCAAAGTTTAGCTAAGAATACATACACTTCATCACAAAGCAACTTCATTCAGCCTGTCCCTGTCTCTTTTGAAATTTTAGTTCTAACACCTATAAAGAGAGCAAAAGACACATACATATGCATAGATGTGTTAATCATTTTAAAAGGACATATATTCCTAGATAGTGAGATTTTTCTCAATCCATCTGAAAATACATGATCGAGTTTTCTCAGTCTATCTAGAAATACATGATCTAGTTTTCTCTATTCAGGGTAAATAAGAAAAACTGCACATTGGAGCATAGATAATTTATATTTCCAATCCAAATAAAGGATTAGCCTTTACATGTACAAACACTAAACTAGGACATGCCAAATTTTTAATTGTATTCCACATTATTACTAATAACATAAACTCATGAGTTGTAATGTAAAGAACATGCTTCCTACATTCAGTACTATAATGGCATAAAATATTTTAACTAATACAAATTACAACATATAGTAAACAACTAATCCCAAACTTAATTAGTTATGACCTTCCTTGATTCCTAAAATCTTGAGCACTCAGTTTCATTTTCAAGAAAGTTTACAAGATGAAGCAGTATGGCAGCCTACAGATAGTGGAAAGTTCACATGTGCTTCAGCATGGGAGATCATCAGAAAGAAGAACTGCAAGACCATGTCCAACACTTACCCTTGGCAAAAAAAAATATCCTTTTTGGTGTGGAGGGCTTTAAGAGGGAAATTACCTACCAATGATAAACTCATTTCTTTTGGAGTTGAACCTGCCAGGTGCATTTGCTGGTGCTTTTGCTGTATCAGAAAAGGTTGGGACAACATTGACCATATCTTTGTATCAGGTCACCTTGCCAATCATATATGGCAATATTTTTCAGCAGACTTAGGGATCAACATAGCCAGACTCCCCTCAAAAGTACTCTGATGAGATGGTGGTTTGTGAAAGCTCACAATGAAGTACTTAAAACTGTTCTCCAGGCACTTCCTATCTGTATTTGTTGGAATACATGGAAGAATAGGTGCTCGGCAAAATATGGGAACAAACAGTCGAGCAGCAAGAGGGTTAAATATTTGGTGTACCAAGACCTTACTCTTCTACTACACACTGTTTTCCCATACCTGCAATGTCCTAACAGTTGGAGGACCTGATCACTATGGTGGAGAGGTGTAGTCAAGAGATGAAAATCAGTAAAGTTGTGTGAAGTAAACCTTCCAACAACATCTACAAACTGAATACTGATGGAAATGTCTTAGGTAACCCCGGAAAAATTGGAGGAGGTATCTTGAGGGATTCTCAGGGCAGGATGATTTATGCCTTTGCAGTACCACTTGGCACAGGAACTAACAACCAAGTAGAACTACAAGCTGCAATTCAGGGGCTCTAATGGTGCACTCAACATGGTTACATGAAGGTCCTTCTGGAAGTTGACTCGGAGCTGATGACCAAATGGCTTACACTACAGGCAAAACCCCACTGAAAATTGCAGCAGTGCATTCAGGAAATTCATCTGCAGGTCAAGCAACTCGAATTTTTTCAATGCAAGTATATGTATAGGGAAGCTAACAGCAAAGCCAGTGTTATCAAAGGCGAAAAGCGCAAAAAAGCTCTAACGTCCGTGAGGGCTTTAAGCGCAAAGCGCAAATAAAGCGTGGGCTTTAATGAAAAAATGCGCAAAGGGAGAAAAGAATACAAATATATATGTTTCGTCCAAGACTAATAATTATAAACATGAATGACAAATATATGACCAAAGAAATTGAAAAAAAATTATGATAAAGTGAAATATCAATTATTTAGTGTCACTTTTTCATACGAGGCTCATTGGCAAGTAAACGTTTGCCTTAGAACCTTGATGACGACATTGAAGCGCACATAAAGCGAGTCGAAGCGCTCATCACGTTTTGAGCGTCGCTTCAAGGCTTAAGCGCGCTTAAAGCGCGCCTTTGATAACACTGAGCAAAGCCAATGATTTATCAAAGTGGAGTCACAAATGGGATATAATTCAGCATTTCTACACTCACCAACAGTTACCAATGGTGGCAAGAGGAAGCTATTTACTTGAAAAATTAGGAATGGCAAGTTTTAGAAGAAGAAGACTTAAGAGGGTAAAAAAAAAACCCTGATGGAAACCTAATTCCATAATACTAATTCCATAGCGAAATTGATTATTTTGTGAGAATACTAATTCCATAATACAATGGCCGAGTTAATGTGTCTTTTGCTATACCATAGCGAAAGACACCAGCAGCAGTTACAGAATTTTGCTTTATCAAAGGACTAAGAGCAGCAAATAATAAAGCATGAAATGGATAGCAATATTCACTAGTGTCTTTTGGCACTTCATGATATCAAACTTAAATGAAAGTTTAATTTCATTAAGAAAACCAAAGAGCAACACAAAAAGATAAAATTTGAAGATACCTTAAAATGAATATTTATGTGACATATTTGTGTCAGGAACAACACTTGAGGAGGTTGCAAAGGGTACTGCTCTTGAACTAGTCGTAGCTACACATATAGAAAGAAGTATTCTCTATTTTTAAACTTGACCTATTGAATTTTAACACAAATATTCCCATTAATGAAGCCTAAGATTGCAAATAAGATTTCAGACTTTTCCGGGATAATTACTTCACAACTCAAATAAAGCTCCTTAGCTTATAATTGACAACCTTATACTTTTAAATGGACTGGAAAAGATTAACGTATATATCTTTGGTAAGAAATCTCCATGCAGACCATACAAGTTCCGATGTTAAGAAGTTACATTTACCTTCCGTTGCAGAGAAGCAAGAATGTGATCAACTAACTTAAGTTCCTTGAAGTCAATGACATCTCTTTGGTGGGCTTAATTTCAGCTGCTGGACAGTCATTTTTTGAGAATCCAATGCAAAATGAATTTATAGAATAGAATCAACATAATGAAATAATACTAAATATGAAAGAAACTGACATTGCATGTTAAAAGTTCGATTGTTTACTTAAACAATATAAGTAAGATTTTGTGTCATGAGAGGGATACGAGTCGAACTAAAAAGAATTCTTTTTAGAACAAATTCGTGTATGTATACACACTGCACACAGGTCCAACTTATCGAAAAGACATACACACACCCAAGTCATATAGTAGCCTTCACAATTTATTTTATTTCATTCAACCACTTGAAACGAACTAAAGAATAAAATAAACTTGTTGTCTATTACTTTATCTTCCCTTTTTCTTGCCTTCCTCCTTTACCACTTAACTAAATGTAGTAATAAGATGATTTGTAGTTCACTTGGGTAGCCAATCTATTTATAGATACGGTTGTCCATCTATATCAACAATTTCACAACCAGCGACAGTTTAATTTCCTAACTTTCTTTCGTTATTTTACACAAATTATACTAATTATTCCAAAAATTTGAAAAAGGAAGAAGAAGTCAAACCACTGAAAGACAAAACCACAGAGCTCCTATAGCAGTGGTCATAGGAAGCAAAATACAAACTCAACTAGGCATGGAAATGGGTAGAACTAGAATTGACTCTTTTGGTTGAATTTAAGCCTTAGTTCTACAAAGTTGAAAAAAAAATATAAATAGAGATTACTGAACAATTCATACATAAATCTAACAAAATATGTTAAAATTTTGGTAGAAATCCTACTCGATGTTCAAATTCTCCAAATAAAATTTGAGAACTATTGAAACCCTACTTGAGTCGGAGTTGATGAAACAAGATGGCTACTGCTATTCTATTTCCTCCAAATCAAACTCGTTAAGGATGACCGAACTCTTCGCTCTGACCTCCCCGACGATAACCCCAAAAATTTCTTCTACCAAACCACCTATAATCCAACAATATGAAACCACTTCTTCCTTAGCACCGATGACTTATTTTCTCTCCATTCCCAAAAAAACAAAACCCCCAACAATTTCTTCTACCAAACCACCTATAATCCAATTGTTCTCTTGTTGAACTGAAGGGATGAAGTAGAAACCCTTGGGAATTAAATTTAGGGCTGAGTATAGTCTTGTTTTTTTAAGTAAATAATATGTAGGGGAAAAGCTTATTTGAAAATTGGGGGAAAGAGAGCACGTGGAGGGAAATCATTATTTTTGCCAAAATTTTTATGAGATTTAATAGGGCTCACTTATAAAATGTTGTTTTTAGAAGTATAAATATATTACACTTAAAAGTGTGGCTATATTTGTAAATAAGTGTTGTCAATTATTTTATGATTTGGCAACACTTATGACGTGTAGCCTAAAATTCTAAGAAGTACATTTTAAAAGTGTTGTCAATATTTTCGTGGCCAAAAGCGCAGTATAAAGGCCACACCTTGAAAGTGTGCCCTTTGGTACTTTTGGCAACATTTTTTAAGTATTGTCTCGCATTGGTATGACCTTAGGACAATTTTGTTGTAGTGAGGTTTTAAATATCTATAAAATATTTATGTTTGTTCTGTCCTAAAAAGAAAGCAAAAGATGGTACTTTTCAGATATGTAGGCAAAACTACTACTGTGAAGACAAGATGCACAGTGATGTAGAAAGAAATTTTGGACAAGTATCCGGAACTAGCAACTGAAGGCACACCAACAATAAATATATCAAAGGCTAGATGTAGAAAGAAATTGTTTATGTTTCATCAAGCGATGCCTTTTCTATCGGGTGGGTTTATTGGGTTATGGGGAGGGTTCTTAGGATTTGGGTTAAAAGAAGGATTTAGCCACGTGTACACAAAAAGGGTGTCGTTAGTGGGAGGGGCAAATGTGCATCGATTATTGAATGGCAAGGGCTAAGATGGACGAAAAGTATAACGGAGGATATAGATGTTCTGTTTTTCAAAGTTCGGGGATATATTTGTCATTTTTCCCATTTTATTGGAACAATGTTTAAAAATAATTAAATATAATTTCTATATAGCTATATCAACTATACTTTTAGTTTTATAATATATTATGTACTAATTTTTCTAAGAATATTATTAATTTTATGATTATTTTACCTTGGTCAAACATCAAATACTTTGAATATTTTTACGTGTTTGTCCTTTATTATTTTTATACCATTGAAATTTTTTAAAAAAATATTTTTTGTTAACAATTTATTAATTCTAACATTCCACATGAAATGCTTAATATCATAAGGTTAAATTACATATATTGATACATTTAACTGATGTTTTATTCAAAATCAAAAGATTCAATTTATGATCTTAGGTAATCTAATAGTCTTTTAACCCGATCCTAAATATGGTAATACTTGCTCACATTCAATATTTATACCATATCAAACATTTTAACCTTAGTAATAAAATTTGAAAGTAAAAAAAACTATTATGTGCATGCATTGGTGAAGATCATTCACTAACTTTTTCTTGAATAGTATGTCACAAGGATATGTTTAAAAAAGTAACTAGTTACGTAGAAATAAAATTCATGATCACATGAGCAATATATAAAAAATCTCAACATTGTACAACTTTTTCTCAATATATCAACATGTGTTATACATAAGTGAATATATAACGCCGAACTTAAAGGCTTACCGTTACACAAGTACATCGCACAATTATATATGTAATTGCTAATGTGGTGAAAGACATTGTGAAAGTGAAAAAGAATGATCAATATTTGCATCTCATTTTTTTCATTTTTCTTCTCCATGGAAAAGAATAAGCTAAACTTTTAATTACTTAATATCAGAAAGTTGATGTTTAATTGGGCTCATTGACCTAATAAAAAAACAAATTGAACAAAAATGATATCTTAAATAACATTTCGCTATCATCATGTCAACAACATAGACATTTAAAAAATTATTGTAAGTACAATTCCAATTTGAATATTATAAGTTCCACTTCATAGTAAATAACGATTGATAAATTTCATACTTTAATTTCACAATTCGAACAACTCAAAGACAAAAGTAGCCAATTAGAGGATCTTCAAAATTACGGAGGACCCTATGTAACAACTAAAAAACGAAAGGTACGTAAATAACAATTTAATCATTTGTCGATTTACTAATATAAGACAAAGTCTGAAAATGGATTTATTAGAGAAAACAAAAATATAGCTATAAGGCAAAGGCAAAGGCAAAGGCAAAAGCAAATGACTTATTTTTTGACATCTTCTGAATTATTATTTGTTTGCTTTGAATTCATCCATAGAAGGATCACATACTTTTGGTTTATTCTTCTTTCTCTTTTTTATTTTCTTTTTGTGACATTTTCTTTATTATCCACAATAAATTGTCGAGCAAAATAAAGTAGGAAAATTTTATAATATAAGGGTATTTCCTTATTTAGTTAAATATAAGAGAATTGTCTCAAAAGCGAGACAAATACTCCATTTTGGGAATATTACTATAGAATTAGTAATAAACATACTCTGTCCCAATCTACGTGACACTTTAATTTTGGATTTCAAGAATCAACTTCTCATTTTTTGATAGTGAATTCGGGACCAGCACCTTTAAGTTTTTGTAAATAAAATTTACATATTTAAATACTACGTAAAAGTAATATAAGTCATATTAATTTATAATTCAAAATATTTAAAAAGACATGAAATATGCTGTCAATATTTTTTTTGGTAGTCTCCTGAAATCCGAAAGATACCACATAAATTGGAACAGAGAAAAATTAGTTTAATCTACTAGTAAATCTTGTGTCTGAAAAAAGTAAAATAATGTAAATAAAACTTTGTACGTGGAGAAAGAGAAATTGGTAATATATTTACATTTTCCAGATATAGAAATCATCGACATCTAATTAAGTACAAGACAAAACTATTTGTAGATATATAAATATACAACATAGATAATTAATCTGTAGTGTAACAAAGCATCAAATTAAAGAAATTAAAAAGCTCTAAATTTTACAATACAATAGAGATGATGAATGCAATTAGTGTTAAATGTGAGAAGTTGAGCCCTGGAAATAGAAGAAGTTTATGTATGGTGGATTATGATATTCCAGTTAATAATAAATGTGTTAAAAGACGACGAAAATCTCCGGTAGCTGCAGTTATAGTGAATGATAACAACAACAATGGCCAAAAATTGGATTCATCAAAAGTTGATCAAAGTAGTAGTATTGTACAAACTCGTACTGTCAAGAGAAGTTCAAGATTCAGAGGTGTTAGTAGGTATTCAATTATCTCGTTTAAAAAAGAACGTCTCTTTCCATTTTTGACAACTCTTTAATTCTTACTTTCTACATGACATGTAACATTTTTGTACGTTCAACATATTTGTAGTTGAAGACCATAAGATTCATAAGTCAGTTTACTTTCTTAAACTCTGTGTCAAGTCAAAACCAGACAAACAGATTGAAACAGAGGGAGTACGACTACTACTTAAATATCTTCATGTTGGCTTTTAGGCATCGATGGACAGGGCGATATGAAGCTCATTTATGGGATAAGGCTTCATGGAATGTAACTCAGAAAAAGAAGGGAAAACAAGTCTATCTTGGTGAGTACTAATAACTTGTGCTAAAAAAACTCCAAAATTTCGAGTCATATGCTAAATTTGCAGCTTCTTATTTATGTTATGTACTAAAATGAGCAGGAGCTTACGACGAAGAAGAATCAGCAGCAAGAGCTTATGATTTGGCTGCAATCAAGTATTGGGGCACAACAACTTTCACCAATTTTCCGGTATGTATTAAGCTGTAAGATGAGATGGTCACACACTTCAACTGATCAATTACGTAGTTTGATAGAAGCATATTGTTCTAAATCTTTCTTAATTTGTAGATATCTGATTATGAGAAAGAAATTGAGATCATGCAAAATATGACAAAGGAAGAACATTTAGCCTCTTTAAGAAGGTACACATTACACCAGAATTTACACCTCAAAATCAAGTAATTTTTTCAATTAACGAAATTTGTTCTGTTTTTTCAACAGAAGAAGCAGTGGTTTTGCCCGCGGAGTATCTAAGTATAGAGGAGTTGCGAGGTAAATTAACACATTATAGTAGATCAGACAATGTTATTCGGGTCTTTTAATACGTTTATGTTCATAATTGTAACGAAAAATTCATCGAATTTCATTCAGGCATCATCACAATAACAGATGGGAAGCAAGAATAGGACGAGTTTTTGGTAACAAATATCTATACTTAGGTACTTATAGTAAGTGTTTTTCGCACCCTTTAACTAATTTATTTCAAAGTTCTGATCAAATCAACAACACATTCAAATTGATTCTAACTCTACACATTTTTTACTATTTGTTTTCAATAGATACTCAAGAAGAAGCAGCTCGAGCTTATGATATTGCAGCGATTGAATACAGGGGAACTAACGCGATGACAAACTTTGACATGAACACATACATTAGATGGTTAAAACCAGATGCCAATTCTCTAATGCAATTTCAAGATTTAACATCAGAAGATCAGCCTATACAAACTAGTAACACTAATGATATGATTAACCCGTTACACGACTCTTCATACTCGTTTAACCACAATCATTTCACCACCACCACCAATACTGAAAAACTGTATGCTATACCGCGTAGCCAGGAACCTATTGAAAGAAAAATGCCCTTAAGTTATTGCAGGAAATCATCGTCACCTACTGCTTTAAGCCTTTTGCTTCGATCCTCCATGTTTCAAGAGCTCGTTGAGAAGAATTCGAGCACTGATTCTGAAGAGAGTGAAGAGAATAACATGAAACACGGAGCACAATCAAACAGAGAAAATGATTTTTTATTTTACACAAATGATAAGTTGCCAAAATTGGAGTCTTTGGAAAATGGTACAACTTCTTCTTCAGCTTTGTGTGATAGAGAAGGGCAGCAGTACTTTGGGATAGATGAGTCGTAGTTTCGTCACAGGGTTGATTTCTTGGATGGCCACTCAACTAACAGGTATTATCTCAAAAAGTCGTATTTCTTCCTGAAGAATTCAACATTTTCTTCACAGAACCAGGATGTACATGAAAACGGTCAATTAACTATTGGGGTGAGAAATAGAACCAAAAAACCTTCACAAAGGTTGATTTGGGATCCAGACCCAATTAGCAACAAGTTTAAAAGGACATATAGTTAGGAAGAAAAGGTTGATTTGGGATCCAGGGCCAATTAGCAATAAGCTTAAAAGGACATATAGTTAGAAAAAATAGTTAATGCGTAATATGATCATGCTTTGGCAGTATCTCTCATCTGGCTCTAGTTCCTCATCTCCTTCTTCATCGTTGTTCCTACTTTCAATATTTCTGTATTTTCGTTTGGGCTTTTACCTTTTGAGTTGTTGCATTGACCTCGTGAAATTGTAATTGAACTTTAGCCTTTTTAATATAGTTGAGAAATTTGGTTAGAGTCATCACTGGATTTGAGTTCATTACGAAATCTTGGAAGTAATATGATTATTTCCGATTACTAAATCCTTTGGCAACTCATCTCTGTCATCATTTTCATATTCTGCATATAGTTGGGATGTGAATGTAGCCACACTAATAAGTAATAACGTCGTATTTACATATATAAAACTTGTGAGAAATCGTTACGCCACTATCTAAAACGGTAAGTTATTACAAACATTGGAAGACAGTAAAATTTTGTCTATAAGACTTGGTAACATATGAGAAAAACATTACACCCAAATCTAAAGTTTTCCAGAAGGATAGTTTTGTAAGAGCTACATTTGCACAACTTCTATAAATCGACACAAAATTTAAATGGGTGCCTGAAAATGAAGGAACATTTAATCAGCTTCACATTGTTTGCCTTTTGTTAACTAACAATCCAAATGCATTAAATTAAGTAATCTCCTAGAAAAAGTAAATTAGACCTTAAGAGGGAAAAAAACGAAGGGGGGAGGGGGATATGAGAAAAAGAGATTGAGGTTTGTGTGATTGTCAAATTTGTGTATAGTAGAATATTTATATACATAGATACTTGTATTGTAATATTAACACAAGTTGAAATGGTGATTTGTGAATACAAATATATCTGGATACATAAGTAATGTATCCAATTTAAAAGATTGATTAGGCAATAAAAGTATAATTGAATACATTAATACTATATTTTATAAACAAATACCTAAGTTAACACCAGGCCTCAAGTATTACTGGAAAAATTTAACCAAAAAGAGTTTGACGTTTGTTGACTTTATCAATTTTTTATACAGCCGAATACTTACACACTTTAATTTGATACCTACACATTCTATTATTTTCCATTTTTCACGTTTCTAGGTTGTCCAATGTATACATCTTCTGTTTAACAACAATGTATTCATATGTATACTATATTGATATATTCATTTTTTGTTTAACAACAATGTATCCATTTTTCAAATCAGCTTGTTCATATGCTAATTGTCATACACTCATACTTTACCTTGTTTGATAAATTAATACATTAGGTTTTTATAAATACTTGTATCCTTGATATATTAATACTTTAAGTTTTATAAATAGAGATACCAATTTGAATTCAAAGTATTCATATGTTAATGTACAATTAATACATTTTCCTTATTTAATTTATTGTAATTAAAACTGTATTAGTATCTAAATAGAAAAATAAAAACATATAAAGAACAGCTAGAAAAAGACACAAATTGTAGTCATTTTTTATAAATAACATACTTATAGCTATTGAACTTTAACAACCCTATAAATATAGTCATTTTTGTAAGTTGCTCTTAAAATTATGCTTGAAATGAAAATGACAAAGATAATTAGGGGATGAAAGGTAATTGTGAAACAAATCTAATAATATAGTGATAATCTAGTCCCTCCGATAAAAAAAATCGAATACTCATTTTCGAATTCACCCTTCAAAGATAGACATTTTAACAAGGTTAATTTTACATAAATCTCATAATGTTAAGAGTCAATTACATCATATTCCTGTTCTTTTTCAAATTACAAAAATCCCTTAAATTTGGTAGAATCCGAATACATCGCCAAAAATTTCCCGATATATCGCGTCTCGGTTCCGGATACATCACTCAACGTTCCGATACATCACGTCTCAGTTTCGGATACATCACCCAACGTCCCGATACATCACTCAACGTCCCGATACATCACGTCTCAATTTCGGATACATCACCCAACGTCCCGATACATCACGTATGTTCTGATACATTGCGTAAAGTGATGTATTCGACTGATACATCGCATAAAGTGATGTATATATCCGACTGATACATCAGTTAAAGATGTATCCGAGAATAGGAGAGAGTATGAATTTTTGTAATTTTTTTAAATGACAGAAAATTTTAAAGAATATGAAAAAATAAATTGTATATTTAGGTAATTTTTTATCTAGACCTATATATACCCAATTAATTTGCCCTTTCTTTTTCACTTTAAAGATTGTCATTTAACAAACGTCTCAATCTGTCCAGCAAAATTTTGGACCAGACAAATATGCAAAAGGGATATGATACTAATTTCAACATGAAAGTGACAGGAATTCAATTATATTTATCTTGAGGCATATTAATATGAAAATTTGAAAGCTTATAAATACCAAAATGTAATCACACAATATATCTCGTGTTTACACTGATCAGAGACAAGGGTCCCAACTTTAATTTTTGGTATTAAATGTACAAATAGCTTGACTAATTAATTAATATATATAAAGACATATGTGACTAATATATATATATTTGTACTTCTCCATCCATCATCTCAATTAAATGATTTCTCTCACTTTATTAGTCTATCTCAAATATTAACTCCTCCATGAATGACCAAAAATGAAAAAAGAAAAGTTCAATTTGAAATTTGACTTTCAACTTGAGAGAGTTCAAACTTATGTCTTTCTATTGAGATTCAAATAAATCAGCTGCTGCTTGAAGTTGCTAATGGTAGTTAGAGGTTTGTTATATAGTTTGTTATGCAAGAGCACGTGTTACACATGTGTTAGTTACAGATGAGTCGGTGCACAAAGAGTGCATTTGTAATGTAGAAGATAACACAAAAACAGATCATTTTGATTTCATTGAAAAGAAATGTAAGGTTTTTTTCTCTCTAGTTCTGCATCTGGTATTTTGAAGAATATAGCTTAGATTCTACAATTTGACACTTTCAATAAATACAAATATATTTCAATATACACTACTGAAAGATCACAAACTAGCGATGGGTAAATTATGTAGCTAAACTACAAATTTTGTTTTAGTGATGTATTATCATAACTACAACAAATTTTGTAGCTAAATTCCATTTTTTGTGATATATATTACGCTCCCCATTTCAGTTTGGTAACACATATTTGACTAGACATATAGAGTAATTAAAAGAAATGAAAAGGTTTGGAACTTAATCATGTTCAACATGCATGTATGTCATAACAAATTCTAAAATTTACCATTTTAAAGATGTCATCACATTTGTATGGCTATTAAAACATCTCAAAAAGTAAAATGGAAAGTTCAAGTAAATTATTTCAAATTGTAGAAAGCTTCATTGTTTTCAAAACAGTTTTGAGTATGCAAGTTTAGAGTCATATTTTTCATGTCAAGATAGTAGAAAAGATTCTTTAAATACCAATCAAAAACATAAAACTGATTATGAAGAACACTCTCGAAAAGCAAAAGGCAAAAAAAAAACTACTCTATAACCAAAACAAGTCATTTTAGTAATACTAATAGCAAGAATGTATGCAAATTTCCACCAAAATAAAGGATATATAGATATAAAACAACTACTAATTAGTAATTAAACCTTACTACAATCAGAGTCCATTGCAGAAACAACTGCAAATTGTAATTCTTCTGATCGATCAACAACACAAAAAATTAATCACTAGTAGGAGGGAGTAGAGGGACATAAAACAAAAGAAGTCAATACCCGAACCATAGTCTTTTTTTAATTTGTAGGGGTAATTTTCTCACCATTCACTAACGATTTTCATTTTCACCTGTCACCTGGTTCGTTCTTGACTTCCCAAAAATCATAATCACAACAAAATATTCAAAAAACACACACACATAAACAATCATTTCACTGGATTTTCCCACCTACCTAACAACCACTTTCTGATCTTGTCATTTATTTACTAGGGGTCCACCCATGCAAAATGTACAGGCTATTAAAACCTTCATTTGCATGGGGACCCACTTCCCTACTATGCCAAAATAGTACTATAGTAGTCCTACCCCTTACCCTGGCTTCTCATTTTTCACAAATTACTCATAACCTCCCCTTACAAAAAAAAATTTGTTAGAGGGAGGTTTTGGGTAATTAGGAATTTGAGTTTTCGTCCACTTGCTTGGACGACTCTGGTTGTTGTGGTGGTGGTGATGATGGTGCAGTTATCTCTATGTCGGGGTAAAAAGCAACAAGTGCAGCATTGATTTGTTGTACAGTGTTGCATAAATGATGGTTAATAGCAGTGACGCTAGAGAGATTGAGCTTTGCACTTGGGATCGTGCTAGCGAGGACTTGTAATCCAACAGTGAGTAGGCAACCTCCTGAATACTCTTGAATTGACGACAAGTTCTGCCTCTTTTCGGAAGATTGAGATGAATTAGCCTCAATACCTGAGACGTTGTTGTCACAGTTGTTAATATTGGCTTGTCCGTTATTGATTGGTGTTATGACAAACCCTAAGGGAAGAAGAGGGATGCACGATGGATCCTCCCCGTTCATGGCTAGTTGGATCGCGTCCACGTCTACAGTGGTGTAGACCACTAGGCTGCCTGAATCATCCGTGCAACTCTCTTGTAGCATTAGCTCTACACTTTGGGATGAATTACTAGCCACCTGTAGGAATGTGTCAAAAGAAAGAAAAAATTGTAGTTAGACAAAATTTGGACAATTAATATATGATCATATGATAAAAAAATATTACTAGGGG